AAGTGTTGCAGCGACATCTGCTGGTTGATATATGAAGGTCACGTGAACAACAAACACAACAATGAACACGTGAGCTCATTAAAGAAAATCTCGACTCTCCTCATCTGCGGTTCCACGCTGGTGGAATGAATTAAAAGCAGATCATCAGATTATCTTTCCTCCTTCAAGAAATCCTTGAAGAGCCAGCTGTTCTCTTGTACTGAAAGCTCTAAATTCACTCATTTTCAAAAGCATATAGCATTCAATGTATGGTATTTGTGTAATCTATGTCATAGTTGAATGTTAAATCCTTAATTTTAAATTTTCTTCTGTTGTAGATTAATGTTAATCCCTCTTTGGATAATAGCGTCTGCTAAATGCATAAATTTAAATGTAAAATAATCGTCTATTTTTCTTCGAATATTCGAAAAACAAAACTTTTTTTATTCCTTTTAACATATAAAAGGTCATTAAATACATGCATCATTTAAGGTTACAGAAAACAAAATGGTGTGAGATTTACATTCACGTTACATTATTGTCTGTGTGATTCTGTTCTCAGATTAGCATTCGTTTGGCTGGGCTTTCACAATGGTACGTCTTGAGAACTCAACTAAAGAGATGCTATGGTAAAAAGTTATTGACTTCTAAGTCATATTTTGTGTAATTTGACCCTTTCAGCATATGCTCACAGTCTTGCCTGTCTTTTTTACCTCTGGCCTAGACAGTTGAGCTCTCCTCAATAGATATATATCATTTTACACAGTTCATTCAGTACGGTTCCCACTCAGCAGTGGTTCTGGGAACTCTCTCTGGAGAGCCTGTTCATGTTAATGTTATTCATTTTATAATTTGTATCCCCGGATTATGGAACTAAAAGGTATTTAGCACAGGTCAAACATTCTAGATCACAATTTCACATGGACTGAGGTATACAGTATAAGTACCAGACACGACCACTGCAGAGTCTAAGTTGATGCAGTCTTTATTATTTAAAGATTTCTATCTTATGTCAAGTGCAATGTTGTCACAAATACTTTTGAACTCAGTCTGTGTGCCAAATCTTTCATCATTTAGAAAGAAATCAAAGGCACTGTGTTCAGACTATCACATTTTTACATATGTTAAAGAAGACCTCCTCAAAGATTAAAGGATAAAGGATGTAAAATAATTTTTGATAGAATAATGAAAGTTTTGTTTGTTTGAATATATTTTTTCTCCATTTTGAAAAAATGTGAATCGTTATTGTCATATAAGCACTTTTATTGTTGTGCTTTTTTAAAGTAGCCCTAGAATTTGCTCTTTCCCTATAATGTAGCTTTTGGATATCATGTTAATTCCACAAAACCACTATCCAAATACAGCAAAATGCCAAGTGACCAAAACAGGAATGTGTGGGGCTGGAAACATAGTAGTGAACTGTGGTATTTCAGCCCCAGAAAGTTCCACTGCATTTTCAGGCCAGGGAACAGTAGACTTCAGTATACTGTACTTCAAAATGACTCAGAAGTTCACAGTTTTAGACAAAAAGTTTTCTTTTAAAAGTAAAACTAGCTGCTTATCACCAGAAAACCCAGAACATTTAAAGATTACTATTCAACTTTAAAAAGAATCAGCTCATTCTTATATTCCTCTAACTAGTTAGAAATGTTATCACAATTTTAAAGTCTGATCAAAGTTTGGATTTTTATTTAAAAAAGAAACATAGAATATTGAAAATCATACGTTTAACCATTTCAGAAAACAAGTCATCTTGGATGTGATGGCTGCTATATATAAAAAAAAAAACAGTTGGCTGGAATAGTAAGTGATAAGAAAAATAAGTGCTTTTAGGAATATATTGCAACATATGTTGCAGGTTAAATGTCATTAAGGCAAAAGTGTGATTAAAATGAAGACTTAGGAAAGCAAGAGTCTCACAAAAGTGAAAATGGGCAATTTGCTTAAAACAGCATCTTTAAATTGTAGACACTTTTATTCAAAGCGACTAGAAATGCAGATACAACATTACAGTTAGCATCAACCTAACAAAAAACGTTATAGAAGGGAATCTGTCTATCTATCTATCTATCTATCTATCTATCTATCTATCTATCTATCT